GCTACAGGCGACATCTCTCTCTCTCTCTCTCTCTCTCTCTCTCTCTCTCTCTAATTCAACTGTAGATGTTCTCATTACCCATCATACATGTTGAAATTCTCTTTAAATCCTGCTCTGCTTTAAGCTTAATGATATTCAGGGCAATGAGTTCCATTGGTTAATTATGTGCTGGATGAAAGTATTTCCTCTTTTACCAGTATTAAGTATGTGGCCTTTCAGTGTCATTAAATGTCTCTTTGGCTTTGAATTATGTGAAAGTGCAGATGGAAGCACATGATTTACCTCTCCTACATCACTGATTTCTATAAGCACCCTCTTATACATCTCCTGTCTAAACCCAACATTCCCAGTCTTTCCAGCCTTTCTTTCCAGCCTTTCTTTCTGTGACTCGTGAAGTTTGTCCCTGAATACCTCCTATTCCAGCAATGTCTTTTTTTGACAGTAACTAGAAATAAACACAACCTTCAAGATGAGGCCCTTATAAAGTACCCCAGAGTCTTCTCTGTTCTTGACTAACCTAAATAATAGTTTGTCATCTGCAATTTGCCACCTCACTGTTCAGCCATTTTTCCAGATCATTAATTAATATAATGAACAACAATGGTTACACAAGGCATCGTGAGACACCCCGCCGTTAACTTCTTGCCATGTTGAAAATAGAACATATATTCTGTATTCTTTCTCAGACACACACAACCAGACACACACACTATGCTTTCTTCAGAATTTGTGTTCAGTGCCTGACTACCAAGGTAATACGCTGCATAGAAATAACTAAGATTAGATAGATAATCATGTATATTAACTAATAACACATTGGTACCTTTCCATGTCTAGATCCCACACCAACTGGCTGTTTTAAACAAATTAGACACCATCATTTGGAAAAGCACTTGTAATTCAGTCCCAGTTAATAACTGACTAAGACCATTTTCTCTATCTGATTTAATAAGAATAAATGCATTTACTTGTAGTTGTTACTGATTGTTAGCTACATACTTAAGATAAATTCTGCTCTCAAAGCCTCATGGCAGAGTTCATCTCAGATGATTTGCCTCTCCTCACTGAAATCCCCGCTTCAAAAATGTAATATCCACTGCAATGCAAAGTAATTAGTTCATAACACTACTACGAATACAAGCAACATGTTATTCCTTTATCTGAATTTTGGAAAACCAAAACCCAAAAGTTTTACAATTTTCAGCAACCAAATATTTCAAACATCAAGAGAAAGAAAATCGGCTTTGAGATTTCTAGCTTTTCCACCAAAAAAATCCAGTATTTTCAAAGAAAACAGAGAGACTCTCTCTCTCTCATTTGCCTTGGTGACATAGATTGTAAAATCTTTGGCGCAGGAATTATTGCTCCCTCTGTGTATGCACAATGTCTAGTACTATGGGGTCTCATCTGGATGAATGCCTATGTGCTATTTATAGCCTTTTAAAATTTAAATTTACTTTAGTAATTTTGTATTAAACTACCAAGGATTCAGCTCCTGTTGCAACAGTTTCAAGCTCAAAAACATGAAAATCACCTCTGGTGCTTTTCTCAAATTTGGAGGCTCCAGGAACACACGAAGACCGAGGATAGTGACTGCAGACACAATCACAAGTACAAAGTCTTATCTGTACTACTACAAGTTTAATTAAAGCAATAGTTAAGGTTACAATTATCAATGAATAATATAAATCCTACAAAAATATATGCAACAACTGAGGCTGTCGTTATCCTCACATCCTCCAAGGTATTCTAGGATCTCTCAACACATGAGTATCAAAAGAGGAATGGTCCCTGCTGGGGTTTCCCATGGAGTTGTCCCTTGGGGTCGTCCCTCTTTTACCCAACCAGGCAACCTCTTTTATATCATTGTTCTGACCATATCTAATACCTTATGCATATGCATGAGTGTTTCAATGTTCTTTTCCTCATCTGTACTGCCACACCCTACAATTATTGTTTTTCAGAGATTGTTTTCTTAGTTTCCCTTATTCTCCTCAGCATTCTTGAACAATATGTAATGTGTGGTCGGGACAGAACATTCCATAATGTTATAATCAGGTATCCCATGGTTTTGGACAATACATTGCAGTCTATTGCAATCTAGTTTTCCGTAACAACCTATTGGCACAATTTCTACAGTAATCTTGTGACCTTACTGGCTTAGGGTTATTCCTAGGTCACCCACTCATGTCAAGAATTCTTAAGCCTATGGCCTAGTCTGGTTGAGCTAAAATCTTATAGGCCTCAGCCTATAGGCCTTGCATTCTAGCCAGGCTTTACTTATATGCCTAATACACACTCATCACTCCTAAATACTTGTCAATCTTATACTTCTATAATCCTACAATTTACATCTATTTAGCATACATGTATTATATATGAATTGAGCATAACACCAAATAACACAATGATAAATGGATGATAAAATGAACTAATTGGTTATGCATTGTAATGTAAACATATAGTAATAATAAATATTAATATTAATTATGGCTCCATATTGGAGTCCAAAAAACACCATGCTGATGAGAAGATGGAACTCTGCCTCAATACTTGAGATTCAACAACTGTTGAACAGACACTTCTTATTAAATATTTGTTACACCTGAATAAAAACATACTTAATCATTAACAGGTGTGTGTTTAATTAACATATAATGATTGCCCAATTACATCACCATGAAAATTTAATTTGAGACACTTTAAGTATGAGTTGATTGAGGAAGCAAGGTAAAGGCTCATGTTGTGCCCTGGGTGCTCTGGATTGAATCTGAAGGGGATATGCAGCTGCCTAATGTAGCCACAATTACCAGCCTAGCAGAGGGTACGGCACGGTCCCCCATCTGTACCTGGCCAGTAAAAGTAACCAGTGAAGGGTAGGGAAGGGCAGGGTAATGACCCCCATTCCTTCCCCTTTTCAGTCAGCTGTGATCCTTGGCTACATTTTGGCTTCTCCCTGAACAGAGTGAAAGAAGGAAGAGAACTGGTCTCTAGGTTTTAGGGGCAAAATCTGCTCTTAGACAAGAACATTCAGCTCTCCATGTGAATTTCACTCAGATCTCTAAGGGGAGATTTAACGGAGATTCTCCTTTGTGATTTGCATTTTATTTTAAACTATAGGACAACAACTTGAAGAGTCATAACCAAAAGACTGTCTTCTAGGTTTCTACCTTGGCTCTGATCTATGCAATATCTGAGCTGCTCCTAAGTGTAAGAAGTTACAATGGATATCTCTTATTTCCTTCCCTGGTGGCATGAGGCAGGCTTAGGGGCGTTGGTTTCTATTTTTAAAAATGTTGATTGAATATAAAAAAGCACTGGTGTCAGTGAGGGTATTGTGGTAGAAAAGCTTGGACAAAAAAGTGAGCTTTACAATTAGCTCAATGCAATGAGGTTAGCGGTCAATTCCTGTTTCACTAGGCTATGAGCTCTACAGTGTTGGCCCAGTTCTGGAGAAGGTTCCATCTCCCTCAGTCACGAGTCTTTCCGTAATGGTAGACAATGTCATTGTTCCAGCATAATGAGGCTCTTATTATGAGGTCATGGTCCCAGAGTGAGTTTCCCCCACAGTGACTGCCAATGAGCTCATCCTAACCTGAAAAGTACCACCTCTCTCTAGTGAGAGAAAGGATGTCCTGTTACTTTCTATACTAATTAAGGTCCTCATTCTGCAAACCCTTACATGAGTTGTCTCACTGACTGTCAGTGGGGCTACTTGAGTAAAGAGTACCGTCTGCTTTGAGCAGAGACTGCAGATGATGTGGAAGTATACATATTAGACTTTTTACCTAACTATCTATTTCTCTCATAATTGAGTTGAACCTTACAATAAGAAGCTATAATACAAGTGTAGCAAAGAAACAGTTAAGTTAAGAAACAGATCTGGGTTTCAAGTTTATGAGATCTCATAAAAATAATACTGAGGGTGAATTAAAAATCAGGATGTTTATGAAAAATGCAACAACATCCTCTCACTAAGCACAATTTGTTCTTTTAGCCATAGCTAAGGACTGCATATCTGTTCCACCCTGAGTTGCAGGAATCATACAGGCTTGGATTGTAGTGCTAGCTGATACTAACCAGTGGAAATCCTTCTAAATTTAACTTTCATCACAAAAGCTATAAATCTGATGCCTTTTTTCCCCACCATCAAAATATCCACAACTCTGAGGTTCTCTTAACGATACAAACAGAAAACATTTCATTATAAGACATTTCGAGCCAATGTTCAACATTGTTGACAATGCAGTATCCTTACCCGTGATATTGCAGTAAACCTGGAACGGTCCAAGCGGTCCACTTCCATCGGAATCAATATGGAAGAAACCAGACGTCTTCCCTTTGTGACGATAGGCTTCACACGACTGTTCATAGATGGCTGCAATATAGAGAGATATACATTACTTCAGAGATACAGTGAGGGCACAGGTAGGCATGCATGTATCCACAATTATAACAATTGTTAGTGGCATTATTTATCCCCTTGATTGGCTGCTGGCTTGTATTTCTGGCCCCAGTTCAGGAAACAGGAGTTAAACACATGCTTCAGTGCTTTCCTGGATAGAGATGGATCTAAGCATGTGCTCTGCTGAATTGGGGCCTTAAACAATGGGAAGCTTGTATTTTCCTGACTAGGGCTTGGTCTACACTACCCCCCTAATTCGAACTAAGGTACGCAACTTCAGCTACGTGAATAACGTAGCTGAAGTCGAAGTACCTTAGTT